CTCTCTGTCCCCAGCTCCTGAGTCAGCGGGCACCGAGGAGCTGCCTGAGGATGGGGAGCCTGATGCAGCAGAGCTCCGCCGCCGTCGCCTGCAGAAGTTGGAGTCCCCTGTTGCCCACTGACACTGCCCCAGTCCTGGCCCCTGCCCCCACTCTTGAGCAGTTCGCGCTGGAACACGTCCTGCCACCAAGTGGCAGCTCCCTCTCTATCTGCACCAGGGAGTAGTAACCCCCAGCTCTGAGACAGAGGAGGTGGCATCTGACCAAGTGGAAAGAGGCCTGAGGCCCCAGCTGACTCCAGCCCTTACAGTCCCGGGCAGCCATGGGGATCTTGGGTCAGTTCCAGCCTTCCTCTCCAACCCTGCAGCCCTGTGTTCTGCTGGGGCCACGAAGACAGAAAGGTGCAGTGTCTGAGAAGCCCTCCGACCCACCCAGTCCCTTTCTGGGAGAAGGGGAGACCCTCCGAGCCCCCCTTGTGTGTGGAGTCATGCTGCAGTGCCGAACAGTATTAGCTCCCGTTCCCAAGTGTGGACTCAAGGGGCTGGAGGTAGGCCAGGAACTTGCTCCCGGGCCCACCCACGAAGACTGGTACTGATGTCCTCTTCTTACCCGAACTCCCCAGGAGCCCTCTGTGGTGGTGGCTGTGCCCCTTGTGCCCTGTGGCATTTCCATGTCTTACTGGCAACCACACAGCTCAGGGAAAGGAGTGTCTGGGGTGGAGAAGCAGGCCAGCAGCACTGAAGGGCCCTGCTCTGCCCCTCCCCTCCAGGCCCTTTTCTCCCTGCAGTTTGTCTGAGGTGAGACTGTCTCTGGTCTCACCCAGCAGCCACTGTGCAACCTCGCTCTAGGCTGAGGGCTCTTGTGTCTGCTTCTGAACCACTGCAAGCCCCAGAACCTACAGAAGGCAACTTGAGTTTAGAAGAATTGGAATTACTTCCTTGCTATTGTCTTTTGGCTTAAATTTTGTCTTTGAATTTGAATGCTTGACCCCAGGAAAGGGGAGCAGGAGTGCCAAGCTCCCTGTCTTTCCAGTTTAGAAAAGGCTCTGGGCCAGGTGGGGACGACAGGAGCCAAGGTGTTGCCTGCCCCTGTCTTTTGCCCCTCGGTGTTGTGTTACAGGAGTTGCTGGAGACAGTTTCAGATGATTATTTAATTTGTAAATATTGTACAAATTTTAATAGCTTAAATTGTATATACAGCCAAATAAAAACTTGCATTAATGACTGGTGGAACTGGTGTGATAGGATCAGTGTGCCATGCTCCTTTTTCTTAACTCAGGCCGTAGACTCGAGAGTGGCCTGGAATCTCCAGGAGTGAGGGTTTACTTACACAAGCCAACACTGTTCTTGGGCACAATGTTGAATATTAAGGTATTAGAAAGATATACCCATTTTACATATGAAGAAACTGAACCCCAGAAAGGTTAAGTACCCTGCCTTAGGTCAGAGCAAGTAGGGGAGCCAGGCTCTGAACCCTGTCTTAAGCCAGCTTGCTGCTGAGATGGGGTGGGAACTCTGGCTTTTGGCCCTTGTGACTCCCAAGGATGGGGCAGGTGTGAAGGTTCCTTGGCTGGGGTGGGATGGGATGGCAGGGACAAAAGGTCAGCATCTTCCTGCCTGCAAACCCCCTGTCCAGCCTTGATACTAGGTCAGCAACCTGGGAAGGATGGCCCTGTGCTGGGCTGCTAGGAGCTCTCAAGGAGCCCCTTGTGGGCAGACCAGCTAAAGCTAATCACTTAATTTGCTGGAGCTGGAAACCCAGTCAGACCCAATTCTTAATATGGAATGGAATAGAGGTAACTGGCCTTTTTGCCCCTCCATGGGTAAAAGGAATGAGCCAAGGGGCTGACGTGCACTACACTTGGAACTGAAGACCTCCAGGACCCACGTCTGAGTCGTGTTGTGTTCTCTGTAGCCTCTACCAAGTCAGGTATGACCTAGAGCAAGGGCTCAGGGATTTTTCTGCCGCAGTGAGGGTCTGCGGGCCAAGGAAGGAATGTGCCCAATGGGTCTGCCCTGTGCTACCCTCCTGTAAACTGGGCTGGGCTACTGCTTCCAACAGAGGGGCAGTCAACCACCTCTACAGCTTGAATAGCTGAGTCCAAGGAGCTCCAATGAAGGGAAAGCAGGAACACGCCAAAGTGGGGGGGGCGGAGGAATTAATGCTCTCCCCCTAGCTTGGCTGTTCCTGGTGGGTCTCCAATATTAGACAGCCCTCCCCCCGTGCTGGCACCTATACAGAGTCCCATTTCCTCCTTTATGCAAACAAGGCCTGCTCCAAGGCCCTCAGCCCTGGTCTCTGTGCCCCTTTCCCCCAGCTGCCTCAACAGCCTCTCCCCTCCTCCTGAGATCCCCAGCACTCCAGTCGCAGGGGGACGCTGGTCGTGCAGGCTGCTCAGCTGGGCTTCAGAAGCCCTTCTCCAGAAGCCAGGCTTTGAGCTGCTGATCAAAGTAGCCCTTGACCCGAAGGGTACCTGTCACCTCATTGACCTGGGTGATAGGTGTCTTCCCCAGCAGCGGGCTCAGAAAATCTTCCACGTCCTTCTGCAGGGCCTGGGGGAAGATGCTGAATCAGGCCTGGTAAGACCTTTCCCTCTAGAGGGTTCCCATCCCTTCAGCCCTGAAAGGTCAGAATCGGACCCTGACCCACCCACCCACTTACCCAAATGTCCCCCTCCACCTTCCGGATCACAGTCATCTGACGGTTTCCATGCGTGATGTCCTTGTAGACTGGGATGTTGTGCATACGAGAGCGTCGCACAAAGTAGGGCAGGTTGGGTGGGGGGTCTATGACAGAGAGGGACAGTGATAAGTCAAATGTTCCCAGACTTCATCTCACCTCAGCCAAGGCCTTTCTCCTCAGAGTGTGCAGGGGGTCAGTGAACCTAACGGCAAAGCCACCTCCAGACTTCAGATCAGGAGACCTGCTCTTTCCCTAAGTTTAGAGCCAGGACCAGCTTGTTCACCCTGGTACCTCAAGGCCCAGCACAGACCTGGCACCAGAAGGTGCTCAAGAAGAAACGAGGTCAGGGCTATGCCTCCCGGGATCTTTGAGTCCCCCTCTGGAGCCAATCCTTGCCCTTCTCCACTGGGTAGGGGAGGCTAAAGTCAATCTCTGGCACAAAGGGATGGGGGTTTATAAGAACTGAACACCTACCGCAGGCTGGGCTCTGCATGACACGCGTTATGTGCTGAGCAGATGATCTCTATTTTGCTGCAGCTGAGGCTGGGAGAAGCTAAGTGGCTAACTCAACCATACTGGCAATAGACAGCAAAGCCAAATTTGGACCCAGAACTGCCCAACTCCCAAGCTGTGTTCTCAATTATGGCCGGGGGTGGAAGTGGAGGTCCAAATTCTTGGGTCTTCTCTCTATGCTTCACTTTCCCCACATGGGAAGCCCTCACCCCAGTACTGTGGATGGATGGGTACTAGCCAAACAGGTCTCCGATCCTGGGCCCTTTGTTGAACGTAAGACAGATGCTAGCTCTGAGAGATCTCAACACAAGTCCTGAACCCTCTGGGGAGTACAGAGCCTCAGCCAGGGCAGATAGATCTCTAGGGAGGGGGATGTTTCCCTGCAGCCTTCAAGCCATCCCCATCACCCAGCTCACCTCTGGGGGGCTGCCAGCCACTAGAAGTGGGATAATGTTCATGCTTTGGGGGCTTTGGGATGCTGGTGGGGGGTAACAGGTGCTCCACAAAACGGTATTCATCCACAGACTCCACGAAGCTGGGGTAATCAGGAGGCCCCTGGGTCTGGCTCTGAGGGGGGGAAAAAAAAATCTCTCCATCAGCCTACCCATCCCCCACGCCCCACCCACCACCCCAGAATAGGGAGAACTTCAGTTAAGTAGAAAAAGGAAACATGACAAGCAGAGAGAATAGCATAAATATAAAAGGCTGGAGGTAGGAAATCACCAGACTTCAGTTTGCTAGAGTGCAGGGTACAAGTGGGTCTGAAAAAGAAGTTCAGGAACTCAGAAGGGCCTGCCTCTCTCAGGATTTTTGTGGGACTCAAATGAGAAGTGTGTGTATACATCTGAAAAGCTGGGTAACCGTAAGTGTGACCTATACGGCATTTTTCAGTATTTTAAAGTTTCCTGTGAAGATTCTACTGAAATATTCTAGTTCTGGGTTAGGCTCTTTCAGCAATCGTGAAAATTTCCCACTCACACTCATCCGATGTGACCCCCCCTCACCTGGAATATTTCAGCCTCATATGGACACCACCAGGCACTAAGTGCTTACAACTTAATTCGACAAGTCAGGTATTTTATTACCCCCCGGTGTACATCCAAGAAAGATTAAGACATTAGCAAACAATCTACCTAAGGTCACATTCCGGAGTCTGTCCTCCTATACTTCTCCCAACAGATACCCTGGACTCCTGATAGGCCCCAGGGTTACAATGAGAATGAGAAGATGAAGTGGCCTATATATCGTGAGTCCTAGGTTCTCAGAAGTGTCGCCAACGATCTGGGGCCAATTCCCACACTCTGGTACGGTTTCCCCTTCAAAAAACTAGGCAGCGAGAGTCTATGTGCAGCACCTCCCAGTTCCAACTAACTCAAGTTGTCCTCCAATCATATTTCAAGCCCCACACTCCGAAACGCGCTCCAAGCCCTGCCACCTTCCCTGTCAATCTTTTATCTGAGCTCCAGAAAAGTGCCCCCTAGGTAGGGACGCCGTTTTTAGACTACAAGAAATACGGTGAGCCTCCACCCAGCCCTCTGCCCCCAGCTTCAGGGTCAGCGCTCTCACCAGTCGCCGCAGCCCACAGCCCGGCGGGACACCGGTCCTCCAGCCTCGCTGCACACTCCGAAACATGGTAGCTGCCATCTTGAACTCCCCCGTACACTCGCTTTCTGCGCGCGCAACCAACCTGGTCCCGCCCCTTCCGGCTCGCCCGGCCCCACCCCCACCCACCCCGGGACCGAGATAACGCCTGCGCAAAGCACAAAGAGGCGGAGCCAGGCGGCCTAGGGCGGTACAAAAGTCAGAGGCCTTGGCGGTCGCTCAGCAGTGACGTGACACGCAGCAGGCGACGAGGCCGTACCTGCCCTAGCTTCTTCCTCTTTCTCGACTCCATTTTCGCGGTAGCGGTAGCGGTAGCGGTATCCGCGGTTCAGGTAAGGTTTGTGCCACGGATGGATCCGAAGGGCTCGCAGGTTGGCCGCGAGGTTAGAGGACGCGGGAAAAACGGGGGAAGAAGGGCCTCTGGGGGCCGGGCCAGTCCCCGTCCGACCTCCCTGGCAGGCCCGGCCTTACCCACGTGAGACCCCGAGACCACCTACTTTTCGGCGCCGTCGTCCCCGGCCTGCCACCCATTTTCTGACCCTCCTCTCGCCCAGAGTATTTCTTCTCTTAAAAGCACCCCCCCTTTTTTTTTTTTCAGTCGCCAACATGCAACTCTTTGTCCGCGCCCAGGAGCTACACACTCTCGAGGTGACCGTCCAGGAGACGGTCGCCCAGATCAAGGTAGGGCTCCGTGGTGCTCCCTGGGGTCTTTTGTGTTTTTCATCCTCGCCCGCCGCGGGAACGCTGAGTCTCGTTTTTCCCTGTAGGCTCATGTAGCCTCCTTGGAGGGCATCGCTCCAGAAGATCAAGTCCTGCTCATGGCAGGCACGCCCCTAGAGGATGACGCTACCCTGGGCCAGTGTGGGGTGGAGGCTCTGAGCACTCTGGAAGTAGCCGGCCGCATGCTTGGAGGTGAGTTGGGGAGGTCTGTGTTTTGAACTGCTTTGTAAGCTCATGGGTGTAGGGTGTGTGCTCAGTCCAGGGTGGTTCTTCCTGTTTACATCTCTCAGAACGAACTTTTTGAGAGGTCCATGGGAGACTGAGCCAGAGTGTCATTCTATTTCAGTCACTTACTAGATAAGACCCTTGTCTGTGTCCTAATTTACTCACTAAAATCAGGAGGTCAGACCAGATCTCCAAAGTGCTCTTGAGGCCTTAAGGTCAGTAGTTGGAAAATTCTGAAGTGACACCCCAGAATGTACCAGACTAGACATTCTTAGATTTCAAGTCTTTGTGACTTTGTTTTCATTCCCTGTTTGGGCCCATCTTGCCTTTAAACTTGAGTTGAGGGAGAAAGGGTTCTGCTGGGTGGGGCCTTCTTGTTATAACTGCTTGCTGTCCTCCTTTCCTATCACAGGTAAAGTCCATGGTTCCCTGGCCCGAGCCGGGAAAGTAAGAGGTCAGACACCGAAGGTAAGTGAGAGTATTAGTGGTGTTGTTTGGACTTTGTTTTCTTGTGGCACAGCTAAGCCAAAACCCTTGGCCCTTGCCCTGTTTGCTTTCTCCCTTCCTGGCGATGAACCTGAGGGAAGGCATGGAAGAGGCAACCCAGGTTTGATCATCCCTCCCTTTTCCCAGGTGGCCAAACAAGAGAAAAAGAAGAAGAAGACGGGCCGGGCCAAGAGGCGTATGCAGTACAACCGGCGCTTTGTCAATGTTGTGCCTACCTTTGGCAAGAAGAAGGGCCCCAATGCCAACTCTTAAGTCTGTTGTCATCTTGGCTTTCTCTAATAAAGTCACTTAGCCCAATCATCTCATTGTTTCATCTTCATGTGCAGAGCCTCAGGGAGAGATGTGGCTTCTCAGGCTGGTGGTATGAAGAACAGTGAGGCCTCATTTTGGTTTTCTTGGCGGTGTCAAGAGTCAGCAGCTTGGCAGGGATGTGTGGGTGGAGGTGGATAAGTGGTAAACTACAAAAAAAAAAAAGCTTCCTGTGAAAATTGGTAACCATAAATGCCAGCCTTTCAGATGGAGAGTTGAGGAAAATTCCAATCCCAATGCTAAATAACTTGATAATTAACTTCCAAATGTTTTCTTTTTTTGGTCTTTTTCTTTTAAACAGAAGATAGCAGGAACCATCGTTGTGGGAGAGATTTTATAGGGGCAGCAATGGAGAGGAGATTGATCGAGTAGAAGATGTATCAGGGAACACCAATCTGGCATTTCCCTGCACTTGGAACCAGCTGTGGCTTTAGTAGAATCCAGACCAGGAATCTGGTCTGCCCCAGCTTCCAAAAGTATTGCCTGATTACATTAGCGCTGCAGTGATCTTATTTGTTCTGATTACCTGATGGGCCTTGCTAACCTAATCACAGGTGAGGTGGCTCAGTTGATTGTTTCAGTGTTCCCAGAATTGGAGTTCTCTGGGGCTGACTCAAGTTTCCTCCTAGCAACACATGCATACCCATTCATTCATTCTGCTAAGCTTTTTGAACCTGCTGGTTCTTGGAATACAGCATACTACGGGGTAAAGATCTTGGGCTCTAGACTTGGACTGCCTTAAGTTTGGATCCTTGTTCCATTTATTCACTGGCTGGCTGACTTTTTTTGGGCTGTGCCATACAGCATGTGAAATCTTAGTTCCCCCACTAGGGATCGACCCGGGGTCCCAGCAGTGAAAGCGCCGAGGCCTAACCACTGGACCACCAGGGAAGTCCATTGCCATCATCTCTTGAGAGTTGCTTTGAGGATTTTATGGGAAGTGCTTAGATCAGCACCTGCCCTCTAGAAAGTGCGCAAATATATTGGCTATTTTTGAGTTCTACAGTGAGCTTCCTAGAAAGACATTGGCCCCCATCCCTTTTAGGAGTTTAGATTCTTGTGCGGAAAGCAAGGAAACTAGTTACAAGTGTTAATGACCTCAGAAAGTAAGCAGGGTGCTGTAATAAAAGGGAGTGTGACAGGTAGATAACTATCCTAGGGGAGGTCTCTGACAATGGGATGTGTGTGAGACCTGAAACAGGAGCTGATCAAGTGGTGAGATGGTGAGAGTTGCAGCCAAGAGACCTGTGTGCAAAGGTGAGTGGCAGATCCTGCAGGGTCTTGTCAGATGTGGAGAGGAGTTTGGTTTGAGTCCAAGTGCAGGTCAGGGTTTTAAGCAAGGGCCTGATGTGATCTGACTGGTGATCTAGTATTTTCTCTGGCTGACTTTTCTGGAGGGTTGGCAAGAGAAAAGGAAACCAGTTAAGCTGGTGTCACATCCAGTTGAGCAAGTAGCTTAGACCACCGGCGGTGAAGGGGATGCAAAAGTAGCAGACTCTTCAAATCCATCCAGGTCGTGGTAGGGAAACAGATGACCCAAACTGAGATAGAGACAAGGTATTTCGAAGGCAGAGCTGACTAGAGGTGAGGCTGGGTATGAGTGAGGTGAGGGACCAAAGAACCAGAGCTTACTTTTAGGGGTGCCATGGATCAAGTCTTCACAGCGCTTGGCACAGTTTGTGAGTCGTCACCTGCACTCTACCACAAACTGTAAGGTCCATTAGGGCAGGAACCTCATGTCATTTTGCTCTTCAGTGTGTTTTCGCTGCCTAGTGTGAAGTTTGCGCTTTAAAGTTGGATGAGGAAGTCGAGCAAGAGCTCAAATATTTGTTAATGCTTCTTTCTTCTCAAGAGGGGAAATGCCCCCAACACACCCAGTCTAGGCACCCCGCCTTGGCCTTCTTCCACTCTCCCCTTTGTCTGTGTCCCCTAGTAGAATGGCTGCCCCTTCAGCGCAGGGACGCCTCATCTCCCATGGGTTTAGCACAATTAGTGGCCCAGAGTAGATTAAGGTTAGCAAAGATTGGGTTTTGCCGCAGCGCTTTATAGTGCCAAAAAGGCAACCACTAGGGGGCGAGCTGGTACCGGCGAAGCGTCCGCCGGACGCACTTTCCCTACGCTCCCACCGCGCAGGGCCGAGCTCCGCCGAAGCCGGGGCTGAGCTCGTACCTCCCCACCGGTTCCGGCGCCTAGCCCAAGCGCGGCTCAAGAGAGGGGTGGGGCCTGGCTTCCGAGTGTGGGCGGAAACTGACGAGAATCCTCGAAGAGCTTTGACTGAGCACTCCGTCGGCCCCGCAAAGAGGCGGAAGTAACCGAGAAGCGCCGGAAGATTGTGATCCGCTGCCCTTGTGCGTTACCGTTTGGTGTGCGGCGCCAGGTGACATGGAGCCGGCTGGGCCTTGTGGTTTCTGCCCCACCGGGGAGGCCCAGCCAGCGCGCTACACCTGCCCTCGCTGTAACGTGCCCTACTGCTCGCTGCGCTGCTACCGGGCGCATGGCACCTGCGCCGAAGACTTCTACCGTGACCAGGTGCTGGGAGAGCTGCGCGGTCGCAGCGCCTCTCCCAGCCGCCTGGCCAGCGCCCTACTGCGGCTGCGTCAGCAATGTGAGACCGAGGACGAGCCCGAGGACGCAGGCCTCAGGCCTGGTCCGGCGCCCGGCGGCCTCTCAGGACTCTGGGAGCGGCTGGCACCGGCCGAGAAGGCGGCCTTCGAGCGGCTGCTGAGCCGAGGCGAGGCCGGGCGGCTGCTGCCCCCGTGGCGGCCATGGTGGTGGGTTCGCGGCGCCGGGCCGCGGCTTCTGGAGGAGCTGGGTGATGCCCCGGGCTGTGACGCCGAGGAGCTGGAGCCCTCCCCTGCGAGGACGCCACCGGAACCCGAGAAGGATGAGCCTGCGGCTGCCGAGCCAATTCTCGGAGACGTCCCCGGGGCCTGCCCTCCCGCCGTGCCCACCCTCATCCCCACGCTGGCCAGCCTGAGCAGGGGCCGGACGTCGCCGCTCGTGCGCTTCCAGCTGCCCAACGTGCTGTTCGCCTACGCACACACTCTTGCCCTGTATCACGGCGGCGACGAGGCTCTGCTCTCTGAGTTCTGTGCCACGCTGCTCAGCGTTTCTGGAGTCCTGGGCGCCCAGCAAGTCTTCGCCTCTACCGAGGAGGCCCTGCAGGCCGCAGCCCACGTGCTGGAAGCAGGCGAGCATCCCCCCGGACCCCTGGGCACACGGGGTGCCATGCGCGAGGCCGCCCTCATCCTGCTGGGTGAGGGCCCGGCCAACCAGAAAGGCTACACGTTGGCAGCACTGGGGGACCTGACACAGACCCTGGGCCGAGCCCGGAAACAAGCTGTGGCCCCTGAGGAACGAGATTGCCTCTACCGGGCCCGAAAGAAGTGCCAGTTCCTGCTGTCTTGGACCAACGAAAATGAGGAGGCCCTCACACCCCTGGCTCTAGACTGCGCCAGGGCCCACCGAGCCCACACTGTGGCAGCCGTGGAGGTGGCAGCCCTCACTGGGGAGCTGGAGCAGCTTTGGGGAGGCCCCCTGCCACCTGCCCGGAGGACTCTCATTGAGGAGCTCCTTGGCTGAACTGGACACTCTTTGTCATTAATAAAGCCGTGACTGGTCTGCCCTGTCGCCAGTGCCCATTTCTGAGGGACAGCTGTTGTGCCACCCACCCCCAGACGCTTGTGGCCACAGACCACCTGTCAGCTTCTCCCTGATCGGGGCTGACCCAGCCAGTTTTTAAGCAACCTGGCCCCAGAAAGGGAGAGAAGCAGCACCAGGCATTCCAGATGTTTATCCAAGGAGGAAGAGCAGCCCCTCCACTCCATTTTGTCTTCGTTTTCCCCTTTTGCCCCAACCACCTATCAGGCTGTTCACCCCTGCCTGTCGGAGCTCAGAGCAGGGTAGGGTGCAGGCCCTTGAGTGCCAGGTGAGTCCAGGCTCCTGGTGCTGGGTGTGCTGGCAGCTGGGTGGGCACGTGGCCCGACCTGGGACACGTGGAGCTGCTTCAGTAGATGTAGGGCACGATTCGGTAGGGCACACGCCGGCAGTATGCGTGCCAGGCCAGGCCATACTTCCGCAGACACTGCTGCTCATCCCGGGCCTCACGGTGTACCAACAGCGCAGTGAAGTAAAGGAGGTAGAAGTAGGGCAACAGGTGGGACACCCCTGTGGGGAAAGGGGTCTCTGTGACCACTCAGCCAGCCCCCCCCCCCGCCCCCCGGTTCACAAAGGTTTCCACAGCTGATGGCTCACGGGGCCCTCAGGGCTCCATGGTGAAAGGTCCAAGGTCTGCAGGGAGGTCTGGCCCAGCCACACCCTGAGTCCATCCCCAGCTCCCTGACTACTCCCTCCACTGGGGTGCAGCCCTGTTCTCCACTCCACACCCAGACTGGGCATCCTGTGCTCACCAGTCCACCTCTGCCCCTCACACGCTTAACGGCCCCTGCCGTGCGCCAACCCAAACCACTCACCGCAGGGCAAGGACCAGGCCAGAGCCATGATGAGGTCTCCAAGGTAGTTGGGATGGCGGACCATACCCCACCACCCAGACACCAGCAGCCGTCGCCCCGTGGCTGTAGAGATGGTCTCAAGGTCTGGGGAAAGACGTAGTAGGATGGGGGACCCCCTGGAAGTCCAGCTGCCCAACCTCACTTCATGGCACCCCAGAAACCCAGCTCACCAGCCACTCTGGGATCAGAAGGATTCTTCCGGAAGGCGTTTTTCTGAGAATTGGCTCCACGGAAGATGTAGTAACCAACAGCTGGGAGAAAGTGTGAGCAGGCAGTCAGGGGCCTTCTCTCTGACCCTGCCCAACTACCCACAGCCTGGACTCAGTCTGCCCGGAGAGCCAGGACCCAGCCCTTGGCTTTAAAGAAGGGTGCGAGGCTTAGCACCTACCCGGTGGGTGCTGAATAAATAGTGAACGAATGAAAGGGGGAGGGAGAGCGCTGCCCCTTCCTGACTGACCATTGATGAGGCAGATGACCGAG